TCCTTATAACTACAGCTAAAGCAAACGCTTATGACTATGACTAAAACTAAAACACTTTGCATGAACCCACCAGTTGTAGTGTTAGTTCTAGTAATAGCGTTAAGTTAGTCTAGTTTTAGTTGTTATTCAGTGCCAAATTGTATATATTGAATACTTGCGGATCTTGTTTCTGAAGAATGTTATAGTGCTTGTGTTAGTTCCAGTTTTTGTTAAATATAATACATTAATAATAATAAAAGTGATAGAAATCAAATTTTAACTGTAATAATTTGTAAGTAGCGCCATCTCTTGTCCAGCGATCGTAAGCGCGTGTACTGGAAGGTACAACGGAAATATTTAAAATTTGTTCACTATATACTCACAATTCTAACACATATTCTTATTATGTATATAAACCAATAGTGTATATTTGGTTGCCTGCGCATGTTTAATTAGAAAATACTTAATTCCACAGTTCTCATTACACATTTCACATTACACAATAACAAAAGAAAGTATATTTATTAAAAATGTTATCTTAATAATTCCATATAAAACACATTACAATTAATTAAACTAATCGCCATACATTGTAGCTTTAAACATTTTACGGCAGTTATAAATTTGAATAAATCCCTTGTTACCCAGTTATCAAATCGAGAAGTATTAATATCAAAATTTTATCTAAACCGCACCTTTAATTCGATATAAAACTTATTACTTTTTCTTATCATAACAGTACTCAAAATGGATTTAAAGGAGAAAGTAGCTATAGTAACAGGAGCGAGTTCCGGTGTAGGAGCAGCAACAGTAAAAGCTTTATTAAAGCTCGGAATGAAGGTAAGAAAATAAATAAATTCGTTTTTAACCCTCCGCATACGAGGTGGGGTATCATATACCCCAGCTTTTAAAACACAAAAGAATTCAAAAACAAAAAAGACGCGCGAGATCGTGTTCTATGTAAAATTTTATAGAAATAGTATTTTATTTGCGGGATATGTCAAACCCCACCATAGTATGGCATATGAGATTAATTCACCTACTATGCAGAGGGTTAATTTATTACCGTTATTTATTTAGGTTGTTGGAATTGCAAGAAGAAAAGAAAAGATTGAGGAACTCCGTCAAAACTCCAATGATAAATTGTTTGCGTTAAAAGTCGATCTTAGAAATCCGGAAGAAATTTTAGACGGTTTTAAGTGGATCGAGAAAAACGTAGGACTGATTCATGTTTTAATCAATAATGCCGGAATTGGAATACCGACACCAATCATAAATGGCAACATCGATTCTTGGAAATCGGTTTTAGATACCAATTTCATTAGCGTGGCGATCACGTGTCGTGAAACAATTCGAATTATGCAAGAAAATAACATCCAAGGTTATATAATCNGAACGGATTTAAAACTGATGATATCGAGAAAATTTATTCGGAATTACCCTATTTATCTGGAGAGGATATAGCTGAAACAATTTTATATTTACTATCTACTCCTTTACATGTTCATGTAAGTACGTCAAATGTAAATTATTTTAAAAAATGCTTATAATTTAAAATTTTAGGTCACAGAGTTTGTTGTTAGACCTATAGGAGAAAATTTTGAAAATATTATGAAAACGTTAAAAAGAGCATAGAGATTTATAAAAAAAAATGTAAACATTTTCTATTAAGGTTATTTCCTTACTATTGAAATAATATAATAATAAAATAAATAGTTCAACAGTTATTTTTAATTATTAGGTGAATTCTAATGAATTGTATATTCAAAATTAAGGAAAGAATCCTGACAATTTGGAAAAGTTCTAAGCTGTTGCGTTTGTCATTATATTCATTTTATTATACACAATGAAATGAGTATTCGAGGCACAGGGTATTGAGGCACAAATAAATGTGCACACCCTGTGAGGAAAGGAAAACCGGCAAATAACCGAGTAAAACTACGTAGATTCAGCAATAAAATAAGCAATAAAGTTACTATTTTACAATATAAGTAATTTGTCATTTGCAATTATAAGTAGTTAGCAGGATTTGTCATGTTTTTTGTTATTATGTATTCATGATATTCATTATGTTCAGTCAACACAATAACGTCACCTTAAAAAGTTCATTAATATACAGGCTGTTTCTAAATTAATGCGACAGATTTCAAGGAGTGATTTTTCAGCAAAAAATAAGGAGAGTCTTTCATATAAGATTTTGTTCAAAACCTCTTCCCCGCCGAGTTACAGTACTCTAAAGTTAGGGGGAAAAATTGTTTTTATTTAATAAATCCACTATGGAGGAATTTAGAAGATTGAAATTTGGCAGGTAACTGTTGTTAATAAAATGACACTTTTTGACGATTTTTATAACCCGAAAATGTTATTGCAAGAGGCTGAAAAAATCAACCCCATAATACTTTGCATTAGAACATTTTCATACATCTACATTTTTCTATTTAAAAACTTGATTTAAATAGTGGGATTCCTTAATTTTAGAGGGCTATAACTTGGAGCAGAAGGGGTTTTGAACAAAAAGTTATATGAAAAACACCCCATAATTTTCGCTGAAAAATCATCCCTTGAAATCAGAAATACATACTTCGCTTTTATTTATTTAATTGATTCTAATTAATATTTCTTAATTTTCGTATTTGTATTTTAACCAAAGATTTCTCAACGACGAAATAATAAAGAACGAATTTGTATACGTGAAATCGTTTATCCAAACTCGAGTAGTTGCAGAAAAACTTTGTTTATACTACCTACTCGTTTGATATGTGGAGGAACGCTCGGCGCTACCACGTCTGGAATTAAGTCTGCAATAGGACGAACAAAAATCAAAACTCACCATTTAATTAGCAAGACAATTTTTGGTTCTCTGTTATAAAAAAAGGACAGATATTTTTTAAAATATTTAGATGTAATGTTTAATGTAATTAAATATTTTATATGTTAAACAATTTCGTGTTCAATCACATAAATTCACTTAATCTTTTATTCTGAATATGCAACTTCTACTACAAGTTGGATTTCCAATTTTATTCAATTCATTCATAACGATGTTTTTCTTGTTTGCCGTTAGAGGCAGCACGAGCTAGAGCAACCCAACTCGTCCGATTGGATAACTATGTATATCTATAAACAAGGGTATAATTAAATAGTATACCAAAATTGGATATTGCGTTAAGGAGTTATGTATGATTGATACGAAAAGTCGCTTTGAGAAATACTTAAGAAATTTTAGATGCTTTCAAATGAATCGCAAACAAATCTTTGTGGTATTCACGTTTTTATAAATAATGCTGCAGCTGGGACGCCTACTCCCAGCATTTCCGGAAATATCAACGCTTGGAAATCTGGTTTGGACACAAAATTTGTTAACGCTGCTGTTACTTGTCGCGTAGGTATAAGAATAATGGACGAAAATAACACTTTGGATTATATAATTAATATTAGTAGTGTTGCTGATCGATGTGATGCCAAAGTAAGTATCGCTGGAAATGTTATTATTCCGCATCTAAAAAAGCATTTATGATACAAACATAAAACATAAAAACTGAGTTTATAACAAATCAAAGTAGAATTCGTATTACGGTGTTAAACTTTAAGATATATTTATAAAACCCTCAAAAATGAATTTTAATTTCTTTTATTGTTTTGGTTGTACAATTTAATTCCTGGAAGAATTTATTTGAAAATGGATACAGAATAGTTGGAGACGTTAACAATATTTTTTTAATATTCATTTACATACTTTAAACAAGTGGATATAAAAAAAAACCTAAAGTTAAATAATGTTGTAAACAATATTGTTTTAAAAATTTTGTTTTTATTACGGCATTACATTTAAGGAGTTTGTAGGAGGTAAGTCTTTCATTTTCCCCTTTTCTATTGAATAAGATGTTACAAAATAAGATGTTAAAATTTCAAAATGCAAGGTTCATCTGAAGGGGACCAACACGTTGCAAGTATAGCCAATGAATGTTTACTCCCTTTTTGGGCATCTATGCCAGAAACTTGGTTTCTGCAAATTGAAGCTCAATTTGACCACTCGATAAATGTAGTCATCGACATCATTAATGACCTACCTGAACGGGACACATGTGTTTTTCAAGAAAAATATTATCAGCCGTCTTTCATTAAGTAAAGAAAAAATGCTTAACGAACTTCGTTCTAATACACATATGGGTGACCAGAAGCCCTCGGAATTTTGTCGAGAGCTCTTATCTAAGGTAGGAGGGTCACAGGTAGTTAGCCCCGACTTGTTAATGCGCTTTTGGCGGACTACGCTGCCAAATACGATTTCCGTAGTATTTGTACTTATCATCTGAAGTATGGTGATCGAGCCCAACATTGTCAATGTAAATGGTGCAAATTTTCCACTTCATTTTTTAATAAAAATAATCCTTCTCATCTAAATCGTATCAAAAAAACGAATAAAAGTTTCAATAGAGAACTTACCTCAAAACTTTTGAAGAATTTTTTAAAATTAACTTCATGTCCAGATTTTTCTTCGCCCGTTAATCATTCTACGAGACATAGAATAATTACTAACTCTCATTTAACTTTTTGCCGATCTCGATGATTAGATTTTAAAGAGCTGTCTACAGTTAAAAAAGGGTTATGGTTTCCTTAGGCATTTGTAGACCCTTTTCTTCATCAGTAGCTTCTCGTTTGCTTATAGTACCGAAAAAGATTGGGATGAATGGTATCCCTGCGGTGATTACCGCCAGCTTAATCTTATCACAGTTTCCGATCTTTATCCTCTACCACACATACAGGATCTCAATCTTCATTTGTCAGGATGCACGATGTCTATAATGCTGATGAAGATATTTATAAAACAGCCAGCACTACTCCTTAACTAACCTACTATAACCTACTCCTAATTCTTTCTGGCCTATATTTCTTATTTGTATATTTAGATGATGTATTAATTGCAATCAAAACTGAAGAAGAACACTTGTTTTTAAGACCGTTTTATTCCCAAAATTTCTGAAGTACTTATTCAATTATACATATAATTTAGTAAATAAACTTTAGTCACAAAAATACAAAATTATTGCTTCTTGGACAGATGAACAAGAATCCTCTCATTGTACAATTTCAACTCATTCTTCCCAAACCTGTTGATGGCTTACTTTCACTATCTACAGATGCTTCAGATACATCAATAGGTGCTGTCTTATCTCAGACTAACAACAACGAAATTGTCCTTTAGCATTTCTTTCAAAAAAATTAACAAAAATCCAATCGAAGTACTCAACTTTTGA